ATTTTAGATTCTGAACGAAGCCATGTATGTATTGTTTTTACAATGATGTGTGTTTTTAATTTCATCACCTTTTGGGAGAAAAATGCTTCGGTTTTCGTGAACAGCATCTTTTCTGGTAGGAATGTGAACCTAGATGGTACTATGGAGGATAAAAAATAATAAAATAGTTTTCAATACCTATCGTCAAGTAATACAAACAAAATATTAAGTAAACTGAGATTTTTATTCAAACCCAATTTTCGATAAATCGATTTAGTTTATTAGTGTAACTCTAAAAAAAAAACTGAATATAGATAACATTTTTACTGAATGTTTATATTAGTAATTTCTATACACCATAACATTTTTGAAATATAGCAACTATTTTTAGTTATAAGAAAATTTGGGGTTTTACTAGATTTTTTTAAATTTATTATTGTCGATACAAAATTGTTCACACTGTCGAAAATCTTGCAAATGTAATACAAAGTTCCTCGTAAGTTAGTGGAAATTAAAAAAAAAGTTTATCGTAAATCTACAATAATTTTTATGGGCGTCTGAAGTTAAAATGTTAACAAAATTCGTCAAAATCACGTGAATGAGCAAATTATTTCAAGTTAGAAATTCATAAAAATTTTTCTATTTATATCTGAGCTCTGAATATGTAATACAAGATTCTCCTTAAGTTTTCCTATATTTAACAAAAATATAAATTTTACTGGAAAGTCCTATACATTTTTTTACGAGCGTTCGAAGCTGGATATTCACTAGTTAATTATATAACGTTAATTATTCTCATATAACGATATCATTTTTATTCGACTTAGATTGTATACAATGTTATTGTACAGTGTACACTGTTATTATTTATTTCAGAATGTTTTGAAAGTAGATATATCATTCTATAGTTTCTAAAAATGAATAACTATTAATTGTAGTGTTCAATTTATCGTTTGAAACTATATAATCACGAAATCTCTTATTTGAACTTTAAAAGTCAAAAAGAAACGCGCGTCTGTCCGGAAACACAAACCTCTCATAGTATATTACTCTTACTCTCGTGCATATTATTATTATATTGATATTCTGATAGTTGATACCTATACCTACATGACCACTGTACAGCGATAGATGGAAAACATTTTACACGATTTACTTACTAGAATGTCAGTATATACCTATATTTATGGAACCGTAAACATTTTTCATTTTATAGCGACTAGCCGGAAACATTCGACCGCGTCATGGCTTTTTCCCAAATGCGCAAACCACAAGCTGACTACTTTCTCCCAAATGCGCAAACCGCCTGCAGGTCTGTAGCTTCAGGGTCAAGGGGAGCATTGCCACACCACACCTGCATCCGTTGCTCCCCTTAGCAGATTTTTGAATTTAAAATATATTGATTATTTCTCCATAACGAAACGCGTATGCGACGTTCTACGTGATAATAGGAAGTGTTGTGAAACGTATAAAATTATACTATACGTGTAGGTACGAATATGCACCGCGAGTGCTTTCATCATACATTTTTATAGTTGTTGACTCTTTGATATTGATTAATTAATGCGATCACAAATGAAGGGAATTATATTTCAATACTATAATGCAACATTGAAATAACAAATTGGCACAGTAACTTATTTTGAGTATTTCCACTGTCCCGAAATCACCCTCCTGATGATTTGGTCTGACTATATAGGACTCCTACGACCCGGCACTCCGGACTGATAACGTTCGCATTCACACTTCACAGTACCTGGCTAACCTATAATATAATATATAGGTAACACGTTGTTATCGTAGATATTCGGTATTGCGACAGTATATACGGTGATGATATTAATATTATATGTCATAAATCTCCGGTAATGGAAAAACAATACTAAAAAAACATTTAAAATGGGTACAATAGTTTTTCCTCGTTCTCCAAGAAGCGTTCGACATCGCGAGACCGTCCGTCCACCGGACACGCGTCATGTGCGCTGGAATGTCGGCGCGGTGGGGGCGCGGTGGAGCAGCTAACCGGTCTTCGGACCGACGGATCTCCCCCACGCGGGCCGAGAGCGCGCCGAGTTATTAAAAGACTTGGCGGGCCACCGACGAGTTGCAGTCAAGTCCAAACGCGGCGGACACACGCACACCGACCAATCTTTAAAATATCGTCCGATATCCTTCGGCGACGGGCCATTTACGACTGCTGCGGGACAGGACACTAGCTACAACACCCGTGAATTCTGAGGATCAACAGGTGAGTCGGCCGACGATGTGGCGAACTGTGTACCGGCTTTATGTATGACGCGAATTTCGACAATTGCCGCTCATTCGATTTGACCTACAGGCACCTTTCCCACATTGAAATATCGTAAAATCCTCCAAACCTCCCGGAAATAGTTTTGTGTGGATCAATCTCGACATTTCGCGGGCTACTGAACAATATAATATTTCAGGCTCACCGGAAGATTCATTATTATTATTTTTTTTATGCTCTTAGTTAACTACGTTACGATATATTATACAGTCGGTGTACAGAAAAACCGAATAAAAATATATTTTTGCATTCTTTTTACCGGTTCGTTGACAGCGACTTGTCCGAACAATATATTCTACCACTGTAAAACATAATATGCCACTGGACGATTATAATATACGATTCGTTTGTTTCAACACAAAGGTGTACTAATATAGTAATAGAGGTAATAGTCATATAGTATAATTATGATAGGTAGGTAATAGTAATATTTTCGATTTTTAAAACTCTTCCTGTGTGACAAGTATATGACATCCTAACTCAATAAGATTTTAATTATCAAATTCGCATTTAATCGGAATAAAAAATGTCAACATTTAATTATTTGTACTGTTGTATTTTAATGAAAAGTCAAAAAGTGACCCAATTTTCTGTATTATGTATATTCTCTACAGTGCAGTAAGTTTACTATCAGATGACAGATTTATGTGGATGGTACTTCTGAGGCCGTTCGTTTATTTTAAATAACTGTCGAATGTCGGGAGATGGCTCTTGCGGAACTTATTTGAATTTTGACATGGCGCAGCTGATTGTTATTCTAAACATTTAAATAAATAAATATTGTTAGAAATGCACAATAAATTAACAAACACAATCAGGAACAAACGGTTTTTATGTATTTTAATCGAATGCAGTTAAAAGTTAAACGACTTGATCCCAATGAAGCTATTTGTACCGTTACTTGTAATTATACAACTATAAAATATATTATAGCTGGTTACTTAGAAACTATAAACATTAGATAGATAGGTACTTTGAAAATAAAAATAATTACATTTTTTTATTGATATTTTTTATAACTACATTGGTAATTACCATTAGTTACATTGTATTTACAATTTAAATGTTACTTTAATGTTTGGTTAGATAATATATTAAAAAACTAATACTTAATACAGTGGAAAATTTGTCATTTAATTTTAAATTACACAACAATAATATATTTTGTATTATTTGTGAAACAAGTTTTAAGTTGATAGTTTTTAGCACAGTTAGCTATGAAAATAACCTCTTTTCCTTCAAGTTTCTATTATACAAGAACCTACCTTTATTTAGTAGTATATTAATAGTATGTTAATATCATCTATTATATAATACACTTGTATAATATAAATAAAACAAAAGGATTATTGAAGTTGTTACTATAATAATGATAATAATAATTATTATTAATTAATAAGCACCTAGATCTATAATCTACCTTCTATTTATATTTTTTTGAGAAATTGAAACGACTTCCTCTGAACATTTTGAAACGGCAAACATAAGCGAACACCACAATTAATTATCTACATAAAGTTTAGGTAATAGCATTTTTAAAAACATTGAATTTTCGAAATCAATACTTAATATGTATGACATATTATTGACATGTTATAACTTATAATATATAAATAATGTATATTATATCTTTATAAATATTTAAGCAATATTAATTAAAATGATCAGTATGACTTATAAAATCAAGGTTGTCACGAAAATTAATTGTCCTTCTAACTTAAAATGTCGAGTTTTCTGTACAGCCATACAGGTATAATATTATGGTATAACTATATAATACCATTATGATATTCTTACAACTTCAAGCTTTTCGGACGTTGTCCCTGTAATTTCAAACGTTTTTCGTATTTTCTTATTCATATATTATTTATTAACCTATATTACTCAAATCTCAAGACACAATGGCATTGAACTAAGTCAGGTTATATGCGCATGACCTTAAACGGTCACCGGGTCGTCTACAGCATCGTAAACAGGTCGATGATGAACTATACTCTCATCTAAGGAAAGATACGCAGGTGCGAAACATATTGCGTTGAGCACTATGTTGTATACAATGAACCTATATGTAAAATGATTTCTATATAACAAACATTCAACAATTGTGCGTGTCAAGTTTTGGTTTACAAATTCAAATTTAAATCGTTAAAAATTGATGAAAATAAAATGATCATAAAAATTTCATAAATTAAAGTTTTATGTACGTGTTTGATATTTTACAACCTACCTATTTCAATCAAAACTATAACAACAATACTTATAAGTTATGAATTATGATGTACAAATTAGATATTTATATACATGACACTAAAATGTTTTAAAATGTTGAAAAAATAAAATGAAATGCTATTTATATATTATAACTATAGGTAAATAACCACTCATGATGGAAATGTGGAAATCCACATTTTTTTAAATATCATACTCAAAATATTTTACAACAATAATTATTGCTATTATTGTATTATTATTTTATATAGGGAATAGGGATTCACTACGTTTATATTTGTTTTCTTCAATATGTAGATTGTAGATAAGTGTATAACATTATTCAAACATTTCAAACCATATAAACACTTAAGTTTCTGTACATTTTAACGTATTTTTAATATAAACAAAACGATTTTTATAAGACCTTCTGTGCATCAAGTGCTTTTTTTACATTTTCATTGATTGAGATTAATAAATTTAAATTTTTGTTTTCCTTTTAGAAATGCATATCACTCTGCACTTGGCATTAGCCGCCATAATTGGCTTTGGACTTTCAGAAGCCCGACAACAAGAACATGACATAGGTAAGAATGTTTTTACAATATTATTTTACCGATTTCAATAGGATTTAATCATTTGAATGTTTTGTGGACCGTGATTAATAATTGCTGATTAGTGATTATACCGATTACTAACTAATTTTGCATTGATTTAATTGAAGTGGAGGTATATTTTTTTTTTTTAATATTTTACTTTCTGTTAAATATATTTTAATGTCGATTAAAGCACTGTTGCGTGATTGCAAGCTGAGGCAAGTCGTAATATTGTAATATGTGTTAAGCAAATGACAAATATTGACGACTATTAATATTTTAATAGTAGTGTTATAAAATAATTAATGGTTTTGCTTGGTTTGTGTTGCAGCTTATTACATTCATCCGTGCCAAAAGTCTGGCCCAAACATAAATGAATGTTTGACTTATTCAGCCAACCATTTGACCATGCACCTCCGGAAAGGTGAGTTTTTGTTACGAGATATACCAACAAGTACTCATACTACAACTGCCCTATACTCCTCAACATCACTATCAGTTTAGAATCTCGAACGAGAAGATGAGTTTTGTATTTCGGTCGAAACGACACGGTCGTTTGTAGAGCAATAGGTGGTTTCGCCGATTTATATATTTCTATCGAGGGCGTATAATGCGTACCTATTAAAGTGTTAAAAAATGTAAAAGTGACCCGTGGCGACTTTCTCAAAACTCGACAAACTGTTAGGTGCTGGCCGTGATTATAGATACGGGAAGTGAAATTCGTGACGGCACGGATCGCACGTGAAGAAAATCTCCGAAATATATATTATTAGCATCACGGATTTCGTCTTTGCTTGGGTCGTCTGTATCGACGATATGTATGTCGGGACTTACACATTTAATGTTTGTATATAGGTACAAACAGGAAATATCATATTATATTAGGCCCACGGTTTTCACACATGGACGATGGTACCTGTGTGTACAACTGTGATCTATGGTATTAACCTGTAGCCATCTCGTACCACATCACCACTATATTATTATATTGTACCTACTCTAAAACCGGATTCACAGCTACGTCGTGTGTCTGTCGTGTCGATCACACCGCATTGAGATTGGACTTTACTTTTTTGGTATCATGTTAGGTACCAAGTTGCAACCGAGTATACCAAGAATTGACTACAGCTCGACTTTTAAACCAATATGGTTACCAGTCGTAACCATTACACGACACTACACGCGACGTAGCTGTGAATCCGGCTTTACAACAAAATGTATTTTACGCGGTCACGATGAGGCAAGGCACATTTCCACTATACACGTACGATTGGTTGGTTAAGTTACCACACGATTAACCACGATACCGTGTTGTTGGATATAGCTGAACATTTTTCGTGTACACGGCAAACGTGTATGGTGGAAACCCGCCTTTAGTACAACAAACATTACATATAATAGCATAATACCTAATAATACGGGCTTAATAATATAATGATATTTGTGGGTGAAACGAAAACCGAACTGCGGAAAACGGCGGACAAAAGTCTGCAGTCCATTACAGAATTCAGCGCACGCAGCGATGGTTCTTTTCTATTTCTGAATTCCGCTCACGTAAGAAATGCCAGTATAGGCACACCCCTGCATACCGATCGGGTTCTACCGTTCGGTGACCAGACTACCTAACCGCGTATATAACACGCGCAATCTTCGGTCGTATATTATATTATTATATGGTACGATGGTTAGGCAAACACCAATAATTTCTAGGTATAGGTAACCTATAACACATACTAGGTCAGAGTTTCCAATAACTGTTTTGTATGTACAACGTATGCACTTACTCGACGTCTCGTTTGGTCCGCAGGAATTCCCGAGTTGGGCATCGAAGAGGTGGAACCCATCGTGATCGACGAAATCAACTTGTCGCTGGGCTCCGGCCCGGACGGGTACAGGGCCACGTTCAAAGACATCCAAGCGTTCGGCGTCAGCAACCTGACCGTCAACCAAGTCAGGTATATATTATATCCATTGAAAGCCGCATTAATAATTATTATTATTATATCTATGCCGCGGCCATCGAAACTATAAGGTGTGTTTTGGCGGTGTAACCGGAGCTAACCGCTAGTAAACTGTTTACTGGTATCGTTTTCGCGATTACGGTCACTGTAACCAGGTAACTAATTTCGTGAACGAGTTTAGTGAATTTTGTAACCGTCGATTTCGACTTGGTATAAGAAGGTTTACTGAGGTTCGGTTACTAAAAAGTTTATGATATCAAATGTTATCAAATATTTCAGTAAACAAAATGTTCAAGCAATTGTTTTGGCGTTCCAGTAAACGTTTTCTAACCGTATTCCATAACCATAAACTTATTTACTAAACAGTTTACTCCGCCAAAACACGCCTATAGACGTACACATGATTTATTGATATGAATAATAAAATTCTTATTATAATTGTAACCCCACACGATTTTCGTAAAAGACGCAAACAATAAAATAAATGCGTTCCATAGGTACTAGGTGCATGTTTTAGTGTTTTAAAACGCGAAAAATCGGAACTATTTTATAATATATGTAACGGAATAACAAGATTGGATATGGGTTATTTAATTCTCAAGAATCGACGTAGGTACAATAACAATAGGTACTACGGTTACAACAATCTATTATGCGTCCGAGTGATTTGTATGTATATCCATAATTTATTACGTCCAATCACGTCGTCACTGCCTCTGTTGAATCGAAGTGATGATATGAATCGGAGTAGAAACAATATAGCATAATGACCATAATATACAATGACGTCTTATTGTTTAATCGGTTTGATAACTATGCCAAGTACTTTTGCATGACGCGTATAGTAAATCGTAACACGGACGCGATTTCGTAAAGCATATATTTTCTCTAATTCAAAAACTGTACGAGTTGGTATTAATATTTTGCTGTCCTATCCATCGGTTCGTGTGTAGATATTATTGATTTTATTGCAAATTGTATACGAAATGTTTTGCAAAACGAAGACTAGTCGTAACAAACAGTTAACCTACGTACTATACTGAAATTGAGTACAAAACATTTTCTTAGAATCTATTGACTATACGTTTCATTGTATATATAAACTCCAATAATTTCCAACGCTAAGTAAATAAAATATATTCACTATTCAGTATATAATCAACATAAATATATAATTGTTTTATATATCTATGATAATCAAGAACAATATTATATAATATTGTATTATGCTGCTGTTCTCAGACCTCTAATATTATTTTCACTGTGGTTATCATTATTATATGTATTAAATTATAATTTTAACTGGGCAGTCAGCCAGTTTTAGATATTCCGTTACTTTTGAATATAGGAATTTTATATTATTTTAAACTATTACTTTATACTATAAAAAAATAATAAAAAATATAGTTTTAAAAATACTCACTGCGGCGTTCTAAGTTACTTTAAGTACAACCTATTTAAGACCTTTTGTATTATATTATATTTAGTTTGCTTCAACAAAAATTAGTACATCAAAAAACAGCAATATTATTATATAATATTCATGTTTTTGATTAATAGATCTGATCTAAATTCACTGCAGTTCCAACTCACCTTCTCGATCCCAAAAATTTCTGCTATTGCGCATTACAGAAGTTCGGGAGTTCTTATTATGGTCCAAGCTACCGGCGGTGGTGAATACTGGGGTGAATACGGTAAGGAACACATGGCGAGAAACTTAATACTTATACAGTTATACCATCAAAATATATACTTACCATAACCTTACATTGTTTACAGAGGGAGTTAAAGCCAAAGTCTACATCAAAGCCAGTGAAGTAGAACGTAACTCTCAAAAATATTTGCATTTAGAAGATTTGAAAATGGACTTCAGCGTTAAAGATATTCAAATGGGTATCAAAAATGTCCACAACGGAAATGCTGTCTTAGGTAAAAGCAATATTTTAGAATGAAATTTTTTTTTACAAAACCAGGGATGGATCTAAGGGAGGGCCCAAGACATATATAAAAGCGCCTACTACTACATAATATACGCATACCTACTAATTTATATTAAATGTATATTGTATTTGATTTATTGTTGCCCCCCTCCCCCCCCCCCAAAAAAAACAACTGTGCTCTGGATCAGCGCCTGATACATATACAGATTGAACAATTAGAACACTTATTTTGCTGATACATTGTTTTTTGTGAATAATTACAAAATAAATGTATATGATATAACTATATACTATATAGTATATTATTTACATTATTCTTGTTTACAAAACTCATCAATGAATCGGTCGTATGAATGACATAATACTTATTTTTATAAATGTGAATTACGAGTAAATATAGCCATATAGTAACAATATTCGTCATTATTAGTAAATAATATACTTACGTTTTGTGTACTTATTATTTTATAATAGAAGCCGCATTGAACTTGTTCATCAATTCAAACTCACAAGAACTGCTCAAGGAAATGAAGCCACACATTAAAAAGAAGCTCATGGTTGGCATGAAGTCATTCATCGATAACTTATTCAGCAGAGTGCCTTATGACAGTTGGGTCATCGATTAAATACCTGGACACAGCACCCAAAATGGCGTCCGACTAATTGTTACTCAGTGCTAACGTCGTTTCCGGAATGAAAACGCATCTCTTTGCACATTGCAACGCTCAATAATATGTCGAGTGCAATATAATTTATAATTTATCACATAATATATTTTTGTATAATATTAATTTAAATATGTATGACCTATACGTTGTGTATAAAAGACACAAAAAAAAAAAAAATTAAAATAACAAATGCTTGATCTCGACTGCACATTTATATTTTGTATTATGTACCAAAGCGTAACCGTGTCTTGTATAGGTACGCATTGAATATCAAGCATTTATTTCTAAACACATTGTGATCCGCTTTTTTATTTTTGTAAGTTAAACATTTAATCTTGTACACTTTAATACAGACTTAGATTTTATGCCTAGGAATAATTATCATCAGAGTTTTTAATTATATAATTTCAATATCCGTTAAAATTAATTACGAGCAATTGTTAATTTTTTTTCAATAATTGTTTTGATTTATTGTATGTTCCTTTTCTTATTATGTCCAAATGAAATAAAATCATTTAAAAATATTTATAACTATCTTTTTATTACATTTTATGTAAATAAAACACTGTTTATGTAGAACTGTATTTGCTGGCCTACGAAATCCTCATAAACCAATGTAGTATTATATGTAGGTACCCAAAAGCAGTAATGTTATACAATTAAATACAAATTTATTTACGAAGTACTAACTAATCGATTTGTTATGTATTATATTGTATTGTTTTTTATTTTTTGACTAAAGTTTTTGAAACAGTTTTTGTCTCTAAATATTAACATTTATACAGAAATGGTACGTCATTACACTTGTTTAGATTTATTAATTGTATTGTGCGTGTAGCCGTGTAAGTAGATTCGGAATCTTGGAAAATAATTATATTATAGAAAATTTTGTATTTTTATTTTTGTTTCTAATATAGTAGGTATACCTTATTTCCTATAAAAGAAAACCTAAAACACAACGATTACATTACACATTCATCTTGTTGTAAGAAAAAATCAATTATTACCCCGTATGCAGTAGGTACCTAAATTCTACCATATGCAAGAATTCTCCGGTTGAACATTACTGCTCTAAATAGTATATTTTAAATTATAAAGATATTTAAATTATTAGGTGAACGGGGATTACTTGCATTATATTTTATTTTATTATAATTCCACTTCTACTTTTTTTTTTACAGAAAATACTATTCACTTTTTTAATGCTTAGCTCTATATCTATTAGTTTTACCTATTAATTATTTAATTCTATACTATTTTCAAAAAATAACCTATACAAAATATAGTTAGAGGATACTTCTAAAAGTAGATAATTAAATATTTAACTAAAATACTTATGCAAAACAATTCCTGTACTCACTTGGCCAACAAAAATAAATGATCATGTTTCGAGAAATTATTGTATTGCATTTTTTAAACCACAACTTCACATTGGGAAATCATTTTTCATATAAAATATAATTTTAATTAGGTAGGTACAAACAATTTTTCTAAATACAATAAACAAAACAAAAAATACTTTAATAATATTATGCTTATTTATTTATCATAAATAATGTTCTGTTTTTCATTCTTTGAAAACTAAGTACCCACTTATTTAAATATTTTACAACGCTGCATGCAAATATGTATATTTAGTTATGTGTATTAAAAAAAATAATAATATCATCGTCATGCTAATTTATTTTCTTTAAAACTTATTATTCATTATATGTTTATTGAACTCTAGTAGACTGGTAAATTAAACATTAAAAATAACAATTTAATAACCATAAAATGTACATGTACTTGTAAAGCAGGGAAATAATATAAATATTATGTTTGTAAATATTATGTTGTTTGGCTTTTATTTGGCCATATTATAAATAATAATAGTAATAGTTCATACCATAGGTTCAGTGGCGTACAAAGTATTTTCAAATCGTATCACAAACATAATTCCCGCCTACCTACGACCTACCCACCCACCTCGAAAGTAATTGTATTAATATAGTAAATATAATACCTATATAGTTTTATATAACAAGGGATCTCGACCGGGACACTATAATACACGGGATGTGCGCCACTGCACAGGTTATATACTTATATATTATTAACATCAATTATCAATATATTATTATATAACCGATGATAATTCCTACCTTAAAATTGTCATTTCAAAAATCTACAAAAGTTCATAATGTTTCAGAATTTATATGAAAAATATTGATCGAAAACTGATGTCCAGTGTGATTGGGCCGAACTTACAAAACCTTCGGCACGTCTTGCTGGTTATAAGCTATCATAGAAAAATAGTATAGTGTAGAAGAATTATTCTGCGTTGATGTAAATATTCACAATTCACATTAAACCATACTCATAGGTAGGTATATATAAAATATAAATACAACTTTTAACAAATGTATAGGTACGTCAATACGTCATTAATATGTTATGATAGAATAAGTGACAATGTGATTTTAAAATCAAATTATATTATTATTATTATTATTTTATAATTAATAATATATGCAGTCACAATTTTAATAGGCAATTTTCTCATTTCTGTGAAGGGTATTTAGAATTCGATAACATTCATCAGCTGACAAGAAGTTAAGATTTTTTTAGTTTAAAATAATTTAATATTCTAGAGTATAGACACTGGTAAGTGGCAGTGTAAATAATTTTCGTCCATCCAAGTATCCAATTCAAGGTCATCTTAATTTTATAAGACCTCTTTAATCTGCGTGTTGACAGATTTTATAAATCGTAACAAAACTTTGAGTTTATTCTGTAATAATCGATTATGGTCTTTTTGTTGTATGATTGTTATTTAATTAATAAAAACAATTCTTATGAAAATGAAAATAAACATTTTTCAATCAATTTTTGACCATTTAACTACTTACTAATAATAGTTATAAGTTTAAAATAATTGAATTAAATTCTTAAGAGTAAACAAACAATGGATTTGTTAGACATTCGATTTTTCATTATTTTCTTACCATCACACAATAATATTATGTTCTAAGAACAATTGACCAAAATCGACAACGACAAGGTTTTTATTGTGAAACCTGTCCAATACAATCCTGAATTGCAATTTCTTTAAGTACAATGATAAATATTTGCGCATTAGTTGTATATTTTAAAGTGAACTCATGACTTCTAATATGGAGTTAAAATATACCTACTGTGGTGTTAATATATAATTAAAATTAATTAAATGTTTTATGTTATATGAATACCTATAAATGTTTACACTGTACATCTGTGCAGTACCTACCTACCTACCTACTACAGTGTAGTGTGTACCTACAACAAGGCTCTATCATCATAAGTCAAATAAAAAAATAATAGTGATTTGTAAATTGATTGAAAATAAAATACTTCAAAATCAGTCCCAATTGATTTTACTGTAGAATATTTTACTACCTATAAAATACAAGGACAGGATACACAGGTAAGTTATACAAAAATATAAGACAAGTAGTTAGATGCAATCAAGAAACGATTTATGGATTCTACTTAATTTAGTAATTATTTTATTGCGATCTGCTAAATTCTGCATTGTTACAACATAAAATGTTAGTTTTACACAGTCTTCACCATACAAAACTAATGGTAAACCTATGTGTAAAATTTGTTAAAAGAAAATATTAAATCTCTATTATAAACTATTATACTTAGGTATACTTACATTATGTGGAAACACAAAACTTACGTAAGTAGGTGTTGGTCTGCTAAAATTAAAACATGTTTTTTGCATATTATTAATATACCTAAGGATTATAATTAATTAAAGTATTATTATTTATTATTTGCAATAAACGTGTATAAAACTACGAACAGTGAACATGAATTGTACAGAACTCATATATTAAGACACATAATCGATACCTATCAAATAAATGTATACATACAATACAAATTGTATCAAACAATCCAATTTGCTGTAGTCAAAAATCTAAATTATGCACATGCACATGCACCATATACCCTCAAATCTCAATATCAAGATTGGAATAGGTATCTATATATTTTATAATATACCTATGTATATTGTATACATAAGTATAGTCAGTGTTGTTAAAATTCCATTTATATAGGAATCCGTTCAATTCCTAGTTCCTTTAGTATAAATAGGAAATCGTTCAGTTCCTCGTTCATTTAATGTCAAAAGGACCTTGTTCAATTCCTAGTTCCTATGAAAAAGGAACTCATTCTTTTCCTCGTTCCTGTTCGTGAGTTATCAGTTATTATCATAATCACTAATCAGAACACAAAGTCATATGTGAATAAAAAATTGGTAGTCTCGTCTATTATTTTTTTTATAAATTAAAAACATGATAAGTAAACAAAAATACAATATTTTTCTCCCCAAATGTTTTTTTAAACTTTTCCGAGAAGAACAAAAGAATCATAATATTAACGTTCCAACTCCTAAAAATAAAACAAAAAGAAACGTGAATTGATTCACGTCCCTATTCCTTTAAAAAATAATGGAATTTATTCCTTCATTTGTTCCTCTAAAAAGGAATCAATTCCAGGAATCGTTCCTTTAGGAAAGCTTTCCTTAAAAACACTGAGTATAGTATATACATCTATATGGGTATTGTCAATTTAACACAAAGGAACTTTTTGATTTTGAAAAATTATTGATGAAAACTTTAAATTAATGGTTAATAGTGTTGTTCTCTATTGGTAACCATAATTACTAATGTTGTTAAAAACGCATTGTGAGTAATATATTATTATATTTGGGAGGTTAGCGCTGTTGGACTATTTAAAAGTTCAAAAGTTCAAGCCTGATTTTTGTAAGTTAATTTTTAATATAAAAATATAGTACTCGATTGAAAATAGTCGAGCATGATTAATTATATTTATAAATAAACAAGCTATCAATTCAATTTATGCGGAAGTAATAACTTCAATTATAAACCCGTCAATAGTGTTACTAAATTTATCGACGTGTCTGTATTGTATAATTAATCGATAGATTTATTTTGTTTATTTCACTGCACTTGACAGATTACAATTATTGTTTATATTAAAATCGAGTAAAAGTACAATTGAATGTTTGCAGAATACCATTTTTCATCACGTATTTCCGGAACGGCCTGTCTTCATTGTAATTTGTAAGTACAGAATAGTTCTTATTTGGATATTAGGTACGCACTACATTCTTACCTATATTTAAGTTTTAACTTCTGCAGTTTGTCGTTTTTAACAACATATGCACCATGCATTTTTAGCCATGAACTTTAGAAATATTGTTAAATTTCAATTACTAGATTAATGCTAGGTGTATAGTATACTATAATTCAAACATAAAAACACACGCAGTTAATTTTTGATAATATTTGAATATCTACTAAATATTTAAATTTATAAACCTTACTGGTATTGTTGAAATTTCATATAAATATATTGTAATAAATAATAATTGTAAATGTTCGTGGCCATGTGTAGCAGTTTTATAATAAACGTTCGTTGATTTTGTCTTTCCAAATACAACATAAATTGTATTTATACTTAAATTTGAAGCATTATGTAAAACATATATATTATATTATAAAATGAAAAACTGAAGGTCACTATTACAGTGCGTGATTTGTAGATTAATTTTTAATTTCTTTTAATGATAGCATGTACAGTGTTTTTATTTTTCAGAATGTAATGTAAGGAATGTAAAAATGGCTGTTCATCGATGCCTGTCTTCATCTAAATTATAGTAATTTGGCTTCAAGTGACTAAATTACCTTCGAACAATATAATGTTGAACCAGAATACTGTGAAATGTTGTATTTATGTAGGTATTATTTTATATGGGTATCTAATTTAAGAGGTGAGACCTATCGATAAGATCGTTTTATCACATACAGATAATCAACTTTATTTCAAGCATTATTTGTATATCACTGATAACCTTTTATACTTATGTGTTTGTAAGATTCGAAGCTAAAATAATATGTATTATTGTTTATACCTAGTTGCTGAAATCAATAGAAATTAACAAAAATTTTTTCCATATGAATAATTTCAAAAGTGTATTTTTTGATACACCACTTTCAAATTTTCAATATTTTTAGTTATTTATTATGATTTTTTTCAGTTTTATTTAATGTCAAAGTATGTGATTTATGCATTTTTAATTATTTCATTCACATGTATACAATAGTACAATACATTATACAGTATACTACAATCAGTTTCTTTCACCAGAAAATTTAATGCACCCAGAAATGAATCTTGCATGTATAAAAATAAACTTATAGATAGTACCTACAACCATTGTGGAATAATTGATTAACAAATGGCTATAAATTGAATGCTAGTTATTCATGTCGTAATTTATTTGTACAATTTAAATTGAAAGCTGAATAATAAATAAAATTGATTATAATTTAATACAATATAATACATATTATATTAGTATATTTGTAAGTTTAATGGAATTATTAGATAAAATGTAAACCAAAACTTGTTCTTGACGTTGTTTCTGTATGTATCTTACACTGTACATACATTGTACATACTACACCACTACAGGGTGTCTCATTAGTCATTATTCATCACGATGAGATCATGTGATTTCCTCTTTCACATAGGTACTATAATAATAATATATACTCTTATACCAGCCTATTGCTAAATCGTTAATACTTACTTAACAATTATTTGAATACTTGATAGAAATAAAAAACGTATTTTAAAATATTTACATAAATTAGCTTTATATAAATGGGCTATATCATAATAGATTTTCGAAAGACATGAAGAGGTTTTCAACCCTATCTAAATTTGTGTTAAGTCTTAAGAGCTTACAGTTCCTTTCAGTCTAATTACAGGTATACTGTCGTAGGTACAAGGATGTCATGTTGTTTTTAGACTCTGAGCGGAGAGATAAATGTATTTTATTTTAAATGTGTGTTAGACATCTAATCCTTATTACAATTTAATGTTAGGTAGGTACAATATTATTTATTTATATTACAGTTATACATTTAAAACGTAGGTAAGTTATTATGCATATATTAATTTAGTGTTATAAATAAGCAAAATGAGTTATATATTAACTAAAGATAATATTGTAGTTCCAACATTAATATTTACATACCGCATATTATACGCGAATCGTCCACATTTCAAGGGCACGTGTGGCCGCAGGTTATTATTAAGATAATATTTTTCACCCAATGTGTTGTCTCTGTCCTATACTAACGCATAACATGGCAAATTTTGCGTTAAGAAAAATCTGTTTTACTCTGATATGTTTAATATTAAAGTGAATTGACCATAATCAAACAAGATAAAGATATTATCTGAGGTACCTAGAGAGATGTTTTTTTTATATTTTAATTTTGAAACAAGTCGAGAGAATTTTAAAATGTACGAAAAACTAAAATTGAGCCGCAACGTCCGATTTTGTGTGAGAGGTTTATTAGAAACCGTGTAAGGAATGAAGCGATTTTATAATAAGATTTTTTTTTTGCAATATTCTTTTACGCATCAATTAAAAATATAAACTGCTCCTCCTCACTCCTGAGTCCTAAGTCCTGAGAAATATAATTAGTTAAGTCTGCTAGGTATCTTAATAATATATAGTAATGAACAATTTAGCATATATAAATTATTAACGGGTGACAAACCGATTAGAGTGGTACCTAATCAAAAATATTCATCGGTATTCGGTATACTGATGTTTATGTGATCAAAAAGAGGCGAATACTTTATTGATTTATATTAAACAAGTGCACTGGTCATGACCAGTGCATTTCAATAAATTACTAAACACTAAACAATCACTATAGACTATAGTACTATATACCTGAGGGACGGAGTGGCCGAGCGGACTAAGACGTCGGTTGCACGGGTGGCACTTCTCTCTTGGCAGACATCTGTCTGTCCCTTTGAAGAGGGGTGGAGAGCTACGCACAAGGGGTAGGTGTCAGGACTTTTAGTATGTTCATTAGTGAGGTATAAACTAATCAAAATCCAGCTTTCGTGGAATTAGTTCCCAACTTTTTTCTAATTTAACTGGACTATCTGGTGAGAGAGGCCGCCATCCCCCGACCGGGCATGATAGATACCTACAACCTACATGCGGGTGCTTAAATCAAAAATTCTGCCAAAACATGCAAACATGTGTAAACAAATCTACAGAACCCTCCACCCACAGGCTAATGACCTTAGCAGTTTAAGCCTTAACCCTAATAAAAAAAAAAGTAACCTACCTTTGTGGATTTCGGTGAGTGTCATTGACAAGCCGCTCCATTATTGCTTTGAAATTTGAATTGTGCATGTAAAAATAACAATTCATAATTGAGCTAAGCATCTGCAGAGTTGATGAATACCTATAGATGTGGGTGATCGCAAGAACATATTCATGCGTCAGCGGCTCCCTTCACTTAAAAATACACTTAAAAATCATTATATGATTGGCAGCTAAGATGCAGACATTCAGTTTCAGTAACCATTAGTTACAGTCTTAGACTTAAGTATAATATGATTAGGGTCACAATAGCATCCACACATATATGGATCTAATGTATTAAAATATCGTTGATCGTTACCTAAATATTTACTTACTTACAATAATTTTGACCAAAATTACTTTAAAAAACGGTTTCTATAAGCGATAAAGATGTTGTCTGCATGACAGAAACGATTAAAGACATGTGGCATGTAATTTCTAGTTTAAAGTTAATTTATAAAAATAGTTGTAATAAAATATTAAAATATAATCAATTATATTATCATCTACAAACAATATTTTGTTAAATAACATATCTATCCAATTTTTTTTATATACCCGCAGCAGCTAATGGCGTGATTGCCGTTATATTAAAAATATATGTCAATTTTGACGTGTTGAATTTTAAGGACACTATACAACGTAATAATATATTACTGTTTTCTGTTGTATGTTTATATTATTATATTTCATTTGGGATTGACAAAGCTGACCAGGAAGTTAGGCGCTTGTCGATTGTGGTAAGTTGTCGTTACTTGTTTTTTTTATAAACTTATTTTGTATAATTCTTATTGAGCTGTACAATGTTTAAACATTATATTTTATTCGCTTGATATGTTTATAATGTAACTTTTTATTAACCTTGATATTACATTTTTTTATTTCCTTGAATTATATTTGTTAACGTCATCGTGAGAACTGATTCGATTAAATAACAATAATTACTAAAGACTAATCAATATATAATTCTTAGGTACAAACATTTTGAGAAAACTGCAATTAAAACTGTCCTTAACCATCAAACTTTGAGCCTATATAAAAGCGATGGCTCGATATTTACTAGTTAGTAATGCAGGACACTAAGGCGTCCAAATCCTATTTACATAAAATCGAACTATTTGAAGTTACTATTTGACCGGTATATTATTTGTTCGGTAGAAATGGCAAATTCTGTGTATGTCACCATTATTATTATAGTTTTTTGTGTGAATAACGTCTTTTCAAAATTGAAGCCTATACGTAAGTTTTAAATTTGAGTAAAATACTTCTAAAAATAATCTTATAAACACAAGAATTAATTTATCTTGTGTAATAAAGAATGATGATTTCATTGTATTTCGTGTTGATGGAACTAACCTAACATAGTTTAACTATTTTTTTACTTAAATGCCTTTTTTTTATATCTAATTAACTTATGGTTTAAATTATTTGATGTTACCTACCTACCTATTTTAATAATATGTTAATAAATATTTTGCACTTTGTACAATAAATTATAGTATATAATATTTTATTTAGGTATATTTTACAACTTTAATAGTTTAATATCATATCGATATTTGAATAGGCACTTTAGTCTTAGACCTTTTTACAACTACTGTAAGACATTTTTAGGTACTAATTTCTCCGAATATTCGATAACTTCGAAGTCTTATTTTATTAGACACTTATACTTTTTTGGTGTGCTGAATAATTTGTGTTAACCCTTGGGTATATACTACTGTTTACAACTAGGAATTCGAACAATTCTTATAGCCAATTTCGAAGCTTTTAAAATAATTTCAACCAGCTTATTTAATTGGTTTATTGTAAAATTACATTATATTATGCCAGTCCTAGTCTATTATGCTATAATGTTTTTTCTTTAATAATTAATACCAAATTATTATTGCATGTATATCTATTATAAATACTTAAATAATAAATATATTAATCATATCATAAATTAGATACTTAGTATTATTTTTACTCGACATTTTTTTATCTTACAGTTTTCTCTGCAATCTGCATAATATAATAATAATCTTTAATATATCAACCAAACCTAATATAACCAAATAGTATTTAACCATCAGATGCAAAATGCGGTGAAACTGTAACCGATAGACGTTTTTTATGTAAAGTTTATTGTATACAAATATCGAATGATTAAGTGTTGTTTAAAAAACAAATTTACTCGATTTTAGCTGATTACTTACATATTTGTCATCGCTCAAATCCGGACATTCCAAAATGTATTATAGAATCGGCATATTTTTTAAGACCTAAACTTGCAGAAGGTAAATAATAAACTTTTTTTAAAATTATATTATGCTATTTATTACATTTACTGTACTTTCCGCAAAGCAGCCCATATACGATCAAAATTATTGATCAATATTCGATTGACTATATTATTGACCCTGTATTGGTTGTACTGAAAATATCAAAACTGTTTGGATATTTATTGACGGGTTTTTGTTGATATCAATAATATTGATCGTGTATGGACCGCGTTGTTGGAAAAATCATTTAAAATTTCATCAAACGTTTATTTAAGGAATTCCCGAATTCGGCGTCGCCCCTATGGACCCAATGTTAATTAACACTCTTATTCCAACGGATGGGCACGGGCTGAAAATAGAGACCACCAATTTATTAGTCACCGGAACCAGAAATTTTACAGTTAGCCATCTTATGTAAGCATATAGTACAATAATAACACCACACATACTTTTGCCCTTGTCTATTGCACAAATATTTACTAATTTTCGGGCGCTTGGATTAAAGAGCCGACATAGACAAACAGAAGTATAAGTTTCAAGTGAGATTTCCCCACATGCACATACTCGGTAATTACAGCATCGACGGAAAAATCGCAAGAATGGTCATCAAAGGTCAAGGAGATTTCGATTTGGACATATGTAAGTTGTGGTACTCTTATAGTTTTTTAATATATAATTAATGTATAATATTCATTCCGGTGTATTGCCATCTTCGGGAAGTTAATTTTTTTGGAGCTGTTTTTTTTTCTTCAAAAAACTAAAGTGATTTGGATTTAAGATGGGGTGAAATGCAACGTAACGCTACTGGGAAACGTAATCGATATCGACGGTTTAAATTATATACGTTTCCATCACATATCACTTAGAATTGCAATAAGCAGAGGCAGTATAGAACTAAGAAATTTATTCGGCGGCGATAAAAACTTGGGTAAGTTATTATTGAATATTGATTATAAAATAATCTGTAATTCGCACAACTCATAGGATGTGCAATACAACAATATTGAATAAGTATTAAATCGTTTTAAATATTAATTATAAATTGTATTTATTAAATCATCGAATAATAAGGTATTTAAAATACTAAAATCACAAAAAATTATTCTAAACTTATTAACGTAGTGGTATAAAAACATCCCATAATTATATAAACTGAAAAAAATATAAATATTAAATAATGAGATGTTCGATATCTATCGATATTGAATTAAATCAAAAATGAGTACCTGACTTAAAGCCTATTTATAATTAATCTTTAGTATTGATTTTATCTTAGGTGAAATACTCAATATGGCTATAAATGCCAATTTCATTATGTTTTTCATGGAGCTCAGGCCGATCATTCAAAAAGTGCTCGAAGAGTTCGTGTTAGACACTGTGGAAAAGCTTACGCAACACTTTACCTACGAACAACTGTTTCCAGATTAACAATATGAAATCACCAATATTTTGTTTTTTATAAGTCTGAATGCTAATCTTGTAAAATATTTGTAGAGGGCTAGTAAATTTGCCATTTTTAATATGATCACATACATTGGTAACAATATATTAAATTATTTATTTAAAAAAAAATACATTTTATACGAATAAACTCGTTACAATCCTTAAGCTATTAATACACAGAACAGAAAAAAAACCAAGAATAATTACATTGAAGGTGAACCATTAGATTATGGTATAAAACCAGACACTACTCTGTTATGAAAATTTCCTCAAGCGGTAAACCGGTCAAAATCTGATTTATCATAGAGAGCACCATTTTACCGGCCAGTTCTTCAATCATTGGCGTCGTTAGTTTCCTTAACTCTGCTTTTTGGCTCCTGAGCGTATCGTTCAATGCTCTGTCTAAACATTCAAACATCATTCGCAAACGTTAGAATATTTCAATAAATAATGTTATTTTCATTAAAAATAAAATAAACAACAACAAGATAAAATATATTACTTATTAGTTGTCGTGATATGAATAAATAAATAAATTAATAAAATATGAATTCACTATTTCACTTACTTAGATTTTGATCTTTCTTGAACAAATTTTCAATCATAATTGAGTAGTCTTTGAAGTTAACTTTGATGTCAATGGTGTCGAACAGTAAAAGAGACTCGTTCTTCCTCTTTATCGTCTTCCCGTTCAATGTAGCTTTGACTGTAATGTCAGCTAGAATATTATCATAAGATTTGTTTTTATTAAGGAACAATTATTAACCGTAATAATATCACATCATATATAGTTACCTATGGCAATAGTTCTAACTACTGGTCTATAATATTAAATACCGTAGATGCAATAAAAACTTTGGTGTCATGTCAATAAGCCATGGGTATTTTATTATTTTCATTATTATACGATTGTAAGTTAAATTTTAACTAACTAAGGTAAATATTGTTAAGTATTTACATTTAAAAGTTATTTGATTTATGCAGTATAATTTTAAAATATCTATGTTGCAAGATTATGAGATTTTCATCGCAATATATCTGGTCTATTTTTTGTTGGATTTTTATATTGTATAATTAGCATAAAAAAAGTGAATCCACAGTTGGTTAATATGTTTTAATACTTACATAAAGTTTTAATTACCACTTAGGATTATTGTATTTCCTCGTTAACTTTACTATTGTTTAATTAATTCAAGGTTTTATATGGGTTCAAGGTTAGGAATAGTATATTACTTTGCACAAGTGGTTGATTACGTAATTTATACTTTTTACTGAATTCATTAAAAATTGATCTTGTAAATCATATAAATTATAATTTTATTTAATGTGGTGCTTTTTGTCATTTAATAATGCGAAAAAATAGTTTTATCTACCAACTCAAGATTATTCACAAAATTTTTTATTGATTTGATTTTTGATTTTAATTTTGATTAGTACTAATATAGATAGGTAGGTACCTAATATATTAAATGGTTCAGCCAAATAGAAGGAAATACAAACTACAAATAACAAGTATTTTGTAGAATTTCCGTCTTATAAAGTTACCTATTTATACATTTAATTTAATTTAAAACCATAAAAGAAAACATAATTATTTTGTTTATTTATTATATTGCTCACAAACAATAATTATGAAAAATATTATTTCTGATATCATCTATATATAAAAATATTTAATTGAAAAAGTATTGATATAATAATATAATATATCAAGTTCAATGTGTGGGAAAAAGTGCTTATGAACTGATTGAATTTGAATTTATACAAATTAATAGTGAGATTTATTCCAATCACTATAGTAAAGTGTTGAAGATTTCTTCAATTAAAATATAATTATCAATAATGATATTGAATTGTGCAAGATCTATATATTTAGAATTTTTTTGAATTTAGTTATTACACTATTCACCAATGGTGACATACTCTTCATTTAAGAAATATTTATACAGCACCTACATGTAATGTTTTATTTATGGGGGCTGGTAAAAATAATGAATATATATACCAAAAAGAGCAAAATATTGAAAAAACTTAAGAAACAAAATATGGTGTGTAAGAAAATTATACATACCTACTGAGTCTTTATAAAAAGAGTACAACAGATAGATATCGACAGATACGTGAGGGCATCGTAAAAAAGTTCTGTTTATGATTTTTTAAAATGTTGATTTTTTTTTTTTTTTACCAAATGCGACTGTCAAGAAAAAATAATGAAACCTACTCAACATTTTAACCTAAAACCGAGTATCAATCATTTTTGTCATTTTCTGAACCTTGTGCTTAGTAGTTAGAAATGTACAAATAACGTAAAACATAACAGGTTTTTTATTTGTTCATAAATTGCTATCCGTAGCTTTGAAATTTAAATTTTTTAGTTTGAAAAAAAGTTTAGAAAATCTTATTTATTTTAGTGTATTATAAAACCACAATTTAATTTATTGTATTCCAAAATAATTAATTCTGATATTCTTTTTAAATTTATAAAAAAGTTATTTTAAACACATTTACAATTAGTAAAGATTTAGAGTAAATACAATAATTTAAATTATAGTTATACTAAAACAGTTTAAATAAAAAAATAATTATCATTTTTTAAACCTATTTTTCGTAAAATTTAAAACTGAAAACGAACAAATGTATAACAGCACGGGTGAACAATTTTATCCTAAAATGTTGGGACACAAAAAAGTTTAGTTGTGTTATTACCTATAAAGACGCAGAGAAATGTATAGCCATGGTCTATGGAGTAACCAAACCTATCAAAATAGAGCTATTATTATAGGTATAGTATTATCTGTTTGTATCAGAACAACTTTTGGACAATTTTTTTTCTAGAAATGGCAATTGGTAATGGAATTAATATATTAAAGTTGAATATTGCTGCCATAAATAAATATTATTGATAATAAAATAATAAATCTACGAAAACGACATTATTAAAATCATGTACTCTTTTGAAAAATTATAATACTGTTCTCGTGCATAGATACTACAAGTGATAATAATAGTAAAAATGTAATGCTGATGCATATAAAACACTTGTTAAAATGTTTTCAGACATTTGCAGTCCTCTCACCACTCACCCTCATCAGTATAAATTATATGGAACAGTTATTTAAAAATTGTTACTATTTGATATTTTGGACCATTCATAAATATATAACAAGTGTCAAGTAATAACTTTAGTTTTCCTCAACAGCAGGGGCGTAATTAGGGGGATAGATCCCCCAAAAAACTTTTTTTTTACTGCTAACATTTTGTTCAAAGTATTGGTAATGACTAATGACCATTAATGTATGCTAAAAACGTATATCCCCCCCCCAAACCAAATTCCTAATTACGTTACGGCTCAACAATATTTAAAAAGTAATTTACAATATTATTATACTCACTGGCATTTATGTACACAGGTCCTGTGCTTTTAATTGGCATATTAAACATGATTAAATTTACGTCATACTCCCCTTCTATTTGAAGTTTTGGGAAAGATAGGTCGACGAAGAATTCGTTCTTTTTAATATCCACCCTGGAAATGAGTAAATAAAATATAATACAATAATATATAACTCTTTATAAATTATGATATTATAATAAGGTATTGGTTAGTGGTTCAATTTCATGTTTATAAAGAATCATTTAATGTGCTTTTCTTAGATGTTGATACTTACTTAAGGTCGTAAATTTCAAATTCGGATGAATGATGAATAACTAAATTACGTGCAAATGCCTTAGTTTTATTGGATCTTTGAATTGTGTTACCGAAAATTGAGGCACCCAGGCCTTGGAATATTTTTAAATCAATTTCTGGAATTAAAAATGGCTCCAACGCTGGTATGTTAAGTTCAGGTATACCTATGAACAATATATTATTATGAATTATGGTTAAACGTGTATGATCAATACAATTTAAATAAATTAACAGATACCAATATTTATATATTATATACAATGAATTCAAGTCAAACAAATATTATTACAATAATAAACTTATTTCTTACACATACAGTTTGTATTATTAGGATGAGTCTTATAAGCGTTATTATAAACGTATTAACATTTATGATACGTTTTTTATTCAAGTAGAGTATTTAGACCTATAATAATATACCAATAATATTTTGCACTCTTTTAACTAAATAATATAATTGCATTGATCCTTATTAATATAGTGTATTTTAAAATATATTATTAGTTTACCTGTTTTAGAATGCTTTAAAATATCTTTCATTAAGCTGGTCAAACATTGGCTTAATTTTGGGTCCGAAAGCTTGCATAGCGTCGTGTACTTAGCTGAAATTATAAATTACATTACGATATAAAGATATGTTTAAAATCCATCAGCTCAATATACTAAACGTATATAATATTATATACAACGTGAAAGATTAATACAAAGTATCACTTCTAGTCGACAGATTCTTTTGGCGAAAAAAAATCTGATTAGTATTTTTACTGTGATCCTATAATAATAATGTGGACTGAAAATATTGTTGATACTTCGTTCTCTTTCATTGAAGAAACCAGTCAAATAATATTAAAACGCATATTGTAGGTGTCATTATTAAACTGGCAGGTTTTCATTCACATGGGTTGAAAAGTAAGTCGTGTACAAACATACTAATAGCCATTGCCCATTAAATAATAATATTAGAGTTGCATTGATTAATCGAATACTTCACACGGATTCTCCAGAGAATAGCACTTCGGGTAGCACGTCCCGTTATAAGGGCTACGATGTATAGGTATATAATGATATTCTGTTCTATTAATAGTCCACAAGTGTTTAACGCAGACATGAAGTCGTGTCGAAAGTGCCATCGGTTTCACGAACCGTTAGTTCTAAAGTGTTTTAAATTCAACCGGACACGTGCTGGTCGCGAATTCTAAATAATTAGCAGACCATTCGAAACCCCAGATGACGATTTGAAACCCCCGACGACGATTCGAAATATCCGATCGGTGTATAAGTATATGACCACCAAACTCGCACTTACCCAGTCTGCTGGTTTTCGCAGCCTTTCCCGCGACCGTGCAGACGATGGCCGCCAGAACCACGGCCGTCAACACAAACTTCATCGTCTTGGAACTTACGTGCATGACGGTGACGATACGATATACTATCACGACTATCGACTATATGGATACGAAAATACAGCAATCGACACTCGGTTATGATACTCGCAACGGAAAAACAAGACTATGCAACGGGGGGTGGATCGGAAACAACCCAGCAGAGACCGGAAGACGAACCGCCGCCGATTGTGTACAGTGTGCGGATAGCTTATAGGATATCGCCTAATATAATAAAACGTTTGTTTTTTTTGTTATATTATATTATTACGATCTACAGACCACCACGAGCACACGACGACAATGCGGCAGCAACGGCTTTCGGCGTCGGAGTGTTGGGCTGCCACCCGGCGACCGGCCATTTCAACTACTGCAGAATCAGCGGCGGGGCTCGATTTCGACCTTGACAATCGCGCGCTCGGATTCGGCGAGAGCGAGAAAAAATTAAATTACAATAATAATAACGACCAGCGATTACCGACACCGCCGGCGTCGTGATGATTATTATAATAAAACAATTGTGCCACCCGCCCACTCGTAATAATATTATGAATCATGATAGTATAATGATATACGCTATTATATAATATAGACAGGTACCTATAAGAGTCTGTTCCACGGTTCCACCAGAGAATAATCAGTCCACCGACAGATTTTCGTCAGGGCCCCCTCCAATTTCCCCGTGTTAACGTGATCACGTGGTTCTAATAGTGTAAAGACGTAACGACGACGTCGTTGTTGTTATTGTTGTTGTTGTTTCAGCGCTTTTAATTTTTAAATCGTTTTTCCCTCTCGCCCGGTCCTAGCGAAACTAGTAATAATATTTAGCCAGCTGCGGTTCATAGTCTGATAGTCAGACGAATATAAATTAGGCACGCACACGAGCAAGGGGTATACGCCGCCGGTCGCGAATTCTTCCGTGCCAAAACGCGTCGTAATAACCGTCAATTATTTTATTTTCATTCGCCCGAAACCGGTTGTTACAATATTTTTATTGACGTCAGTACTATTATACCCGAGCGATAATATCATATCAGTTGCCGACCATGATGGCAAAAATAATAATAATAACATTGTTGTTGTTTTCGTTCTGATGGTCGGGAAATTCGCTCAGCGCAGGATGCGCCGGATGAGGCCTGGAGGTTTTCTTGTAAAAACCCGCGAGACGCTGATGACGACGATGATGATAATAATAATATGGTGTAGCTGGTATAGTTCGCGATCAGGTTCTGGACTTCTGATCGGTTTATCTCGCACACGCGTCATCAACTTACAGATCGGCAGTTACAACATTATTATTATTTTTGTTATTATTAATCATGATTCATTGGTAGTAAGCTGTAACAGGTATAGGTGCCATTGGCGTATATTATATTGTATTCCGGTATAACGACGGACACTTAATTATAATAAGTACATATAAATTATTATTATAATTATAATACACATGACGTCGTTTTACTCGGCGCTCACGACCAGTGCTCGGTGTATTATAAACAAATTAAACGTCAGCCCGGAACGTATAAATATGTAGGCTCACACGTCTTGCCTTGATCACTGTGCGTTTTTATTCTACCGATTCATTTTCGTTGGCTACACGGGTAATCGTTTTATTTACGACGATGAGTGCTATAATATTAATATTATGATGTATCCACTATAGGTATATACTAGCCAATATAATATTATAACGTGCAAACGACTATATTATTATTATTATCTCGCTCATCACAGGTAGGTACTGCCGCTGTATTAGGTATACCGAATGTACAGGGTGATTCACCGACCATGTTCAGTGCTCACCCCTTTTCTTCTACAAAATCTGATTTTTTAGAATTTTTAATATACTAACCTAAAGATACTAAGGATACTCACTCTCAATTTCTAGAGATTTTTGGTATCACTATTATGAAGTGTCCACTGGAGATACAAACTTCTGTTTTACAAACGACGACCCTCCTTTTCTACTGTACATTATTCACCGGATAATTTTTCTGAAAATTCAAACAAATAGTAGTTTTGAGTTCTTTAGCTCTGTGTATTAAGGATAATAGGTCCATGATAATGGGTTTGGAAAATATGGGGTCTATTGTAGTTTTAAAATGTTATTTATTAATATCATTATATGAGGACTTGAAATCAATAACGGGCCAAGTGCCGAAAAAAAAAATTGAGTTAGACTCGAAAAACGGAGCTATGTGCCATCTCAAACAACCTATAAAGAGGGCTATGTGCCACGACCATAATATTGGTGAACAAATAGCAAACAAATGTCGTGAGAGCTATGTGCTGGGTGTGGTTATACCGGGCTAAAAATTGAATAACTCAGAAACAACTTTTTGGCACTTGGCCCGTTATTGATTTCAAGTCCTCATATATTAATCTATCAATGTTTATAATTTATAAAAAATGGTCCGAGTACCTATATTTTAAATTCAGAATTCTAGATACAAACATAACATTTATTTTATATTTTTGAAATATCATTTTTATACTTAATATAAACGTTTTAATAACTGAAAAACTACTCATTCAAATTTTGAATTAAGCACCTACATCGGTATTTTCAAAAAAATACACACTGAAATACTGAATAATATACAGTAAAAAAGAGGTTATCATTTGAAAAACAGAAGTTTATATCTCCACAAGGCACAAGACACTCTTTATGCGCCTAGGTAGTAGGTAAAGCAAAATCTGAAGGATTTGAATAAATTCATCATTAAATGAAATAATGGTGGTGATCGTGCTTGGTGAATCAACCTGTACTACGATCGGAAGGCCGTGAAAATATGGTAAATCTTGAAACTACCGTCTTTCGAATAATTGTCTATCTCTATTCAATACAATATAATCTCAAATCATAAAAAACTCAGATTAAAACACGTCATCATGATAGTGATTATTATAGAAGCTTTAAATTATAATACGTAGTTATTGACATGCTGATTAAATGCAGTGGCGCAGTGCATTATATCCGACTGCCCGAGACGGTATTTTGTTGGAGGTTGAATCACGTAATATGAGCTTCAAATGCCTGGAAACCTCTTCGAAGCCCTTAACCCAATCCAAGACAACACCCACAAAATCATCATATTTCTAAAACTTATTGATATGTAGGTACAACTTAATCTAAGGAAACCATTGTATTATTTATATGAAACCAATTGTTTTTTGTTGCAAGCTAATAACCTAGTAGTTGATGCTGTACCATTAATAATAAAAAAAAAAGTTGATAAATGATAATTGTACTTATTAATTATATAGGTAGTTCTCTGAGTGTGTTGTGGATTTATAAATGCCTCTAATTGCCTTGTACTGCATGTCCACTGCCCTACAGGACATATACTTATTACCTAGTCCATTACGACATATCTATACATTTTAAGTCTGTGATTAAGACGTGTGTATTATATAAATGTTTGCTTACACGGAGTAATTGGTGGAGCTTTAATAATTAGTGTATTAGTAATTGATTTAATTTAACTGGCAAATTATTACAATAATAATTAAAATACGGGAAAAATAAAAGACGATGGCCTAAAAGAGATTTTTACAACATATAATATACATAATAAGTAATAATCTTACCAGATACCCTATACTCAATGAGTAATACGTCATTGATACTATACGTACTGAACACTACACCCGTGTTACTTGCGTTATTATGTCCATTAATCACTATTTTGGCTTTCAATGTCTTCATAAACTATGATTAACAATTAACTATCATTATTGATTTCCTTAAAAATTATTTATTATTGTTTAGGTACCTATTCTTTTTTAAATTATTGTTTCTTTATCAACATTAAGTTGAATTATTATGGGTTAATTTATACGCTATGCCTATATTTTATATTATTACTTTGGGAAAAAAAACATGTCTGCAGCTAACTGTATAGAGTAGTTAAGAATCAAGATATTCAAAAAAAACAGTTATTCTAGGATTGTTAAGTTTAAAATGTAAAAAAATAGTTATACTAACAATTCTGTTGAAACTATTCTGTGGAAAAAAACACCGATCACTATAATATAACATCAATAGGCAATCTCTGTTACACTAGGCAATAGGCATGAAAGAACAATATTTTCTCCAATGATTGGCAACATGAAATATGTACACGAAAACAATTTTAATTATTTCTAACAAAAAAAATAATAATAATAATTTTGATGCTGAAACTTTTCTTCGACTTTCTATCACACACAACCTTTCAAAAAATATAAATTAATAAATATCTTTTTACGAGTTTTATCAAAATGTATTGCCTACCTATAATTGATAACACATATTTTATACAATTTATCATACACAATATAATATTGTGTCTGTTCAGTTACTTTTGTGGGGGGTCGCCGTTTTCTACCAAGTTCGACTTTTACGTTTACCGCCAGTATAATCAATGTCATCTAAAGATGATAACCACCCACCCACCACCAAAAAAATGACGTTTCATGTAATTTCGAGCTTATTTAAAGTGGTAATTTCAAACTCCTGAATCCTGATCTTTAGAATCATTTCTAGAAGTTCTATATGTAACAATGTAAATATGTATCTAATTATATAATAATGATTAATGCATACCTATAGGCTATAGTAAAAACTAATATAATAATTTATTATATAAACAATACCTACTAATGTAATACTAGGTATGTATTAAGTTTTAACAAAATTTCATATTTTTGGATATTTTGTATTTTGACTGCAGTTCTATCGTACTATAGAACCCTCTTGCTTGTCATTTATTAACATTTTTAATTAAATTAATACTAATAATACTCCAGTATTAATATTTTATTATCTACTATAAATCTATTGTACCTAATATATATATTTTTTTTTTTGATCTTAAGTTTTTTTGGTTTTGTAGGTTCTTGGGTCGGCAGGGGGAGGAACACGTGTGTGTTGGGTTTGGCAGAATTTTTGATTGGGCACCCGTAGGTATCTACCATGCCCGGGTGGTGGATGGCGGCACTTGTTCTCCGGACACCGTGACTTGCCCGAAGAAAAATGCCATCCC